CAGTTCAGGCTAGGTCTTCCTCCTACAATGGAGACTTTGGAGGCAGTGGAGGAGGGCGTTTCTCCCATTCTGGTAACCAGCTGGACGGCCCCATCACTGCCCTTCGTATCCGAGTCAACGGATACATCATAGGGTAAGATTCTTTGAGTTTCTAGGGTTTGGGGACACCCAGGATCTCACTAAATTGAGAAGTTCTCAGTCACTTTGGGTCACATCTGTTTCAATCAACAAGTCCTGGGGATAACATGATATGGAAAAGTTGTTAGAGGACTTGGATTTGAGACCCACACTGCTACAACCCGTTACAACTCCCAACATGCGTGACCTTGGGTAAATCATATACCGTAAACTCTTAAGGGCCTGGAAGTTGCCTGGCTTAGCCCCCATCCAAGGTTTAAACCCCCTCTGGCAGCCTACGTCTTTGCTCGATGCCTCTCCCAAAATGTGTATCCTTCTGATCTGCAGCTTGGGACAGCATGGACAAGTCTCTTCCCTTACGAGAGCCTTTCAGACATTAAAAAAATCCTTTTGCTTCTTTCAGGTAGGGAGTGAGGGTACAGTGGGAGTCTTGACTTCAGGTTCAAGCTCTGACACTTACTGTCTGGGTGACTCTGGGCAAGTTGTTTTCCTTCCATGAGCCTGTTTGTTTTTTGGTAAAATCAGTTGAAGTTCCTGTACAATCTCCAAGGGTTGACCCAACCCTCCTATACTGTGGGACTGCAGGAAAATTGTCATCCTTGTCACCACTTGAAGGTCTCAGCGTGTAGGCTCAGAGATCATGAATTCTGATCACCCTACTCAGCATCTCCCTTCCTTCCCTCCTCACCCTGCCTCTAGTCTCCAGGTGCGCTATGGCAAAGTGTGGAGTGCCCATGTGGGTGGCACCGGGGGAAACCTGGAGGAGATCTTTCTGCACCCTGGGGAATCAGTGATCCAGGTGTCCGGCAAGTACGAGAAGTATCTGAGGAAGCTGGTCTTCGTGACTGACAAGGGCCGCTACCTGTCTTTTGGGACAGACATAGGCACAAGCTTCAGTGCTGTCCCATTGCACCCCAACACCGTACTACGATTCATCAGTGGCCGAGCTGGCTCTCTCATTGATGCCATCGGCCTGCACTGGGATGTCTACCCCAGCAACTGCAGCAGCTGCTGAGTCCCAGCCTCCTCCTAGGCGGGGCACTGCAGTGGGGGTGTGAGAATCCCCTTACCACTAACCCTGTCTGCATGGCTCAATAAAAACTAAAAGAAGGACATGGCCACAGCTAGTGGGTATGTGGGTGTCTGCAGCTTGGATCCACCTCCTGACTCTGGGTGTCGATGTGTGCATCTCATTTCCGGCTATTGGTTGGACATCAATCTGGGAAAGAATGGAAGAGGGAGAGAGGTATAAAAATCCTGGGATTTTCTTCATAATTTATCAAGAGGAATTAAGATTCTAGCTTGCATCAACTCTTTTTTCAAGGATAGCTGCTAAGAGTGTTTACCCAAAGTGGAGTTCTGGGGCTGAGGGTAAGACCTAGTGGTGGCTTTTTGCCAAAACCCCGGATGTTCCACTCTCCACCCCTTCTCTCCCCTTGGGGTAGTGCCTCTCCACCGAAAGGCTGTCACCTCACTTTCTTGAGACCTTAACCCACTCACTGTATTTGAGTGGCATGGGCCATTGTCCTTTGTTCCTTTGCAGAACCCACCTGACTCCCGAAGTTTAACTTAAGTTTGTGCCAAGGACTCTGCCTATTACCCCAGCCTACTTCCTCCCCAGCTTTACCCATGAGCCCTGGTGCCTTGCTTAGCTCTCTCAGAATTGGGGCTCTTTCCTTAGGAAGCCACCACCTCCTCAACAGCTTCTATTCTGCCAATACCATCTTCAAAAGAGGGCATTCCAAGGGGCCGGGGGAGATTTCCATTGTGGGTTTCCATGAACATAGGGGTTGATTAGAGTTCAGGGGAAGTATTAGAGTGGCTGGATAGATTCAGCAAGCATATAAAGTTGCTTTGGAAATAATTCTTAGGACTCTAGTTCCCAGTCCTAGAGGTTTGACAGTTTTTTGTGTGTGTGTTGTTTTTTTGGTGGTGGTGGTGGGTGGGAGTGGTGGTGGGTGGGAGTGGTGGGAATTACTCCTTGCCCCCAAAAGATTTATTCACATCACAGGGAATGCCCGAGTCACATTTCTTCCCAATTAGACAAAGATAACAGTTACATATATGTAATTTTACAAAGAAATATTAACATTATAGAAACAAACTCACGTCTAGCCTGTTTTTACAACAATTCCTTTATTTCGCTTAAACAATCAATTCCATGGAATGGAATATTTCAGTGGTTTTTAGTACATTCACAGACTGCGCAACAATCACTGCTTTCTAATTCAGAATACTTTCATCACCTCAAAAAGGAACCCCCTACCCGATAAGCAGTCACTCCCCATTCTCCTCTCTCCCAGCTTCTGGTAGCCACTCATCTGCTTTCTGTCTCTATGGGTTTGCCTCATACAGACACTTCACATAGATGGAATAATACAATTATGTGGCCTTTTAGGTCAAGCTTCTTCTATTTAACATTGCTTTCAAAGTTCATCCACACTGTAGCACGTATCAGTCCTTCATTCCTTTTTAGGGCTGAATCTGACAGATTTTTGACAGATCAGATATCTGTTCAACTTTAGGATGGCCTTTAAACCAGTGGGTTTCACACTGTGTCCTGTGAAGGTACTGGCACCTAAGAGGCAGCCACAGCAGAAGAAGACTAATGGTGAGATTCCTGGCTTTTGTCCAGTCTACTTATTAGGCTTTTGCAGATTTCTTTCTTTTTCTTTTTTTTTTGAGGAAGGTTGGCCCTGACCTAACATCCGTGCTCATCTTCCTCTACTTTATATGTGAGATGCCTGCCACAGCATGGTCTGATAAGTGGTGCACAGGTCTGCGCCCAGGATCTGAACTGGCAAACCCCGGGCCGCCAAAGCGGAGGGCGCGAACTTAACTGCTGCGCCACCTGGCCAGTCCCTGCAGAAATTGAAAGAAAATTTTCCTTTACTTAAAAAATAAAGTTTTAAAATTGCTTAATTGAGCTAATCACACGTTTATAAAACATTCTCTGCTAGGTGCTAGGAATATAAAGACTACTGAAGATTTGGTTCTTTTTCTCTAGTCAAATTGTTTTATTGGTGCTATGCCAAAGGTGTTTTTCATAGGATGCTAAAGGAGCCCAAAGGAGGGGGAATTTTCTCTGGGGGTGTCAGGGAAGACTTTGTGAAGGAAGGGGTGCATAGGTGTGTGTGTAGGGGAGCAGGACGAGGCCCAGGGCCTAGCTTAGGCAGAAGCATGAAGGTAAGAAAACTACAGCGGGTCAGTACAGCTAAAATGCAAAACACAATTGGGCAAAAGGTGAAGCCCCATGTAAAGTCAGGGACCATGAACGTCATGCTGAACTATTTAAACTTTGTCTTATGGGCTACAGGAAGCCACTACACCAAAATTTTGCCCAGGGCATTGATAAGATTTATTAAGAAGTCATTTTTCTGGTGGAAGTGGGGAAAATGGACTGAAGGTGAAGCAGGATAAGAAGATAGGTAAGAGGCAAGGTCTAGACCAGAAATGAGAAATGTCTGTACAAAGGCAGTAACATGAGGGGGAGAGAAAAGGGAAGAATTTGAGAGATTTGAGCCGGAGGGCAGACTCAGAAGAACTTGCTAACTGAATGTGTGGGGGTGAGAGAAGGAGGGGAGTCTAGAACCACCATATCTGTAGCTGGGCCAACTGGGAAGAGAGGCACATTCTCTGAGATGGGGAATACAACAGGAAAAATTAATTACCTTTTGGATCTGTTGGATTTTGATGAATCTGTGGTACATCCTGGTTGAGATCCAACATTAGGCAGAGAGATATTTGGGAATAAAGCTTTGATACAGGTTTGATATACGACTTAGATTCAAGAGTCATCAGCACATAAATAATGAAGTTCAAGTGATGCATGTGGAAGAAGTCACCCAGGAAAACTATGGGCATGTAAAACGAGAAGCAGGCTGAAGTCAGAGGACTGGGGAATACCAACTTTTGATGGTTGGTACAAAGAAGAGAAATCAATTAAAGAAACAGAGAATGGAGTGGTCTGGGTGATAAAGGAGATGATAAGTGGTGCATCCAAAGGCAAGAGAGAAATTTCAAGGAGTGGTTAATGCCACTAAGTCAAGGAAAGTACAGACTTCAGTTTCCTTGACTTTGACAACCAGAAGTGCATTATCTTGACAAAGTTTCAGTGGATAGGGGGAAGTTGGAGCCAGGCTGCAACTGGTTAAGGAATAAATGGGAAGTGCGGAAATACAGGCAAGAGTTGAATATTTCAAGAAGTTTGGTTCTAGATCAGAAAATAGGCTAGTTAGTCATAGTTACGGGGGATGTAAGGAAGGAGGGATTTTTTTCTAGACAGGACAGACATGAGCATGTTTATATGATGAAGAAGGAATTAGAGTAGAAGAAGAGGCTGAAGATTCAGGAAAGAGGAGATAATTGATGGAACAAGGACTGAGAAGAGATTGGGGAGCATGTTTTATGTAGGTGCTGGAGTGGGAAACATTAAAAAAGAAGGGAAGAAAACAAAGATGATGGGCCTGGCCCTGTGGCCGAGTGGCTAAGTTCGCGCGCTCCGCTGCAGGCGGCCCAGTGTTTCGTTGGTTCGAATCCTGGGCGCGGACATGGCACTGCTCATCAAACCACGCTGAGGCAGCGTCCCACATGCCACAACTAGAAGGACCCACAACTAAGAATATACAACTATGTACTGGGGGTCTTTGGGGAGAAAAAGGAAAAAAAATAAAATCTTTAAAAAAAAAGAAAGAAAACAAAGATGAGTGAAGGTATAGGTTAGTTTGTATGGGGACTGGGTATGGACTGAAACTTGCAGGAGTCAAAACCTAACTTTTACTTGGTCAGTTAAAGAATAAAGTTCTTTCCGGTATCAGTCAGTTTCTACCAGAGAAAGAACCAGGAAGAGATATACCTACATATATACCGAAAGAGATTTATTGCAGAGAATTGGCTCATGCATCTGTGGAGACTGGCTCGGCAGGCCTGGAATCCGTAGGGTAGGCCAGCAGTCTGCGACTCCCAGGCCAGAGGGGATGCTGCAGTCCACAGGTAGAATTTCTTCCTCAGGGACACTTCGGTTTGGCTGTTTTTCCCTGCAAAGTAATTTATTAGATTATCAAAATTTATATTTTTAGTAACTTCATTTTTGAAAAACTGTTTTCCAGCTTTATTGAAGTATAATTGACAAGCAAAATTGTAACATATTTAAAGTGTCTAACGTGACAATTTGATATACGTATGCATCGTGAAAGGATTCCCACAATCAAGTTAATTAACACATGCATCATCTTACATAGTTATCGTCTAAAAAATTTTTTGACGAAAACACTTAAGATCTATTCTTTTGGCAAATTTCAATCATACGATACAGTATTATCAACTATAGTCACCATACGATATGTTGGATCATCAGAACTTACCTTATAATCGAAAGTTTGTACCCTTTTACCAGCATCTCCCCATTTCCTGCACTTGCTAGCCCTGGCAACCACCATTGTACACTCTGTTTCTCTGAGTTCAGCTTTTTGATCCTAGAGTCCGCATATAGGTGATACCATGAAGTATCAGCTTTGCTCTTAAGCCTTGCAACTAAGTGGATGAGGCCCACCCAGATTATCCAGGATAATGTAATTGACTTAAAGTCAGATGCTTTTAGATGGTAACCGTGTGTACAAAAGATCTTCACAGTGACACCTAGGTTAGTCTTGATGGAATACTATACTATAGCCCAGCCGAACTGACACATAAACTCTCTGTTGCACCCGGAGGGTGGGAGGGTAGGAGGACTGGAGTGGGGAATCGGGAGAATGGCACAGAGTGAAGTTTTGCTGACCAAAGGCAGGTAAAAGGATTGCTGAGGAATCTTGGGAACCTAGCTATCAAAGGTCACAGTGAGCTGACAGAGTACTGCACAAGGACTTAGGAAACCGAAGTTTTTGCTCCCCTCAGCTACATGACCTCAGCCAAATCTCAATCTCTCTGAGTTTCAATCAGCCACTTGTAAAGTGAGCTTGTTTGGGTCAGATGCTCTCTAGGACCTATTTAGCTCTCACATCTTAGGAATCTAAGTTCTGAGAATTTAGTGGTACATAAAAAGAAGTGCCCTCATTGTCCAGGGGTTGCATGTTATATAGGGATACCTGTGATGGGTGTGTGGGGAATAAGGTCCTGGACACATAGCCGGAGATGGCCTGGAACAGGGGCATGTCTGGAATGGCTGTAGTCTGAGGCCTCCCCAAGTAGGGAGTGCTCTGGAGCATGCCTGGAATGCAGGGCCCAAAGGCCCACCAGCTACGAAGAAGCCCACAGCCCCTCTGATGACAACCTGGTGTTGAAAGACAATCTCTCAAAAAGACCCCTCAGACCTACAAGAGGTCACTAAACTGACTGGGTGATGTAACTATGAGTGCTTTCTTGTTTGGATCGTCGTGGACTCCACAGTGGCTGGTACTGCATCCTCAAGCTTCACCTGCAGAGTGGAGTAGGGAGACAGCCACGTCAAGGGAACACAAGGCCAGGCCTCTTGAGTGACCCCAAGAACGTAGAAGCCTCAAACTGGACAAGCACGGTCATCTAGGACACAGCTGAAGTCAAATCCCTAAACAACAATTGCCAACAGAAACCACATCTCCAAGTAATGGAAGACTCCCCTTAGACTGCAGCTCACGGATTTAAAGAAAGCTTTTGGCCCAATAAATTCAAATCAGCCAATGAAAGTGTGCTATCCTTGGTGTTATCATGAATTTGGACTTGTACGTGCTGGGGAAAGACAGTAAACATAGATCGATTATTAACTTAGGGCATATGAGAGAATATTTAAGGATCACTACAGGTGGGAAGACTACATTAGCAGTCATATATGTTTTGGGGGGGTTATTTCAGGGAGAACAATAGAGAGAGATGAAAAATGGAAAAGGCAACTAACAGTTATGGAGCATCCATTACGAGTTCAGGTATTCTTCAAAATTACCTCAATTAATTGTGACAACAATGCTGTTGGAAAGTAGTAGTATTATTCCCATTTTTCAGATGAAGTCACCAAGACAGAAAGCAGTTGATATGTTTGTAGGTGGCATGAGTCACAAGGGCAGATGTCAGAATTCACTGCGTCCCCTACTCCTCAAACTTACACCCCTGTCTATTCCCCAGTATTTAATAACTGACCATACCTAAGAAAAAAGCATTGCTTTTTCTATTCTCTGTTTTAATTTGACATCAAAAGGAACCTCACCCAGAAACCCTCTAAATCTTGGTAGAGCAAATGAAAATAAGATTTGTTTGACTTAGTACAAAACCGGAGCTCAGGAAAATTACAATACTTCATTCAGTCATATGACAAAGATTTCTTAGGAACCCGTGATGTGTCAAGCACTCCGCTAAATGCTGTTACTTATCCAAAGTCACAAACACAGTATGTAGCAGAATGAGGATTAAACTCAGGTTTTTCTGATGTTAAAACCTGGGCATTTGTCACACGTCCTTGATTTTCAGACATCTTAGAAATGAAATCTAACAAGGACTTCCAATATGAGGATCACACAGTTGGAAAATCATGTCACACTTCCATTCATGAGTTTTGACAATTGTATATACCTGTGTAACCCAAACACCTATCAAGATGTAAGGACATTACCATCAGCCCAGAAAACTCCCTCTGGGCCCTTCCCAGTCACTTCCTGCCCCAACTCCCAAAAGGCAACCACTTTTCTGACTTTTTCCCCAAAGACTAGTTTAGCCTGTTCTGCCTTCAACCTTTTATTATACTACATATCATGTGGCATCTGGAAAACTCCATGGACCACGCAGGAGAGAATAGGAGTGAAAAGACAAATAACATCTTAGTATTATTATGAAAATAGTTTTAACTTTGCAAAGGCCAGGGGTCCCCAGACCACATTTGGAGAATCCTTGCTCTAGGTATTACAATACTTTTTGTTTTAAACATTAATATACTATTTTTTGTCTTCTCAAGGCAACCTCTGCATAGCAAGTCTCATCATTCCAGCGAGCACATCAAACTCACCCATGCACAGCAGCCACCAAAGCTGACCTCAGTGTCTTCAGGAAAGGGCCTGTGGACTGCTCAGCAGGACCCTTGCTGAACGCCCCTGGGTGGTGCCCTCCTTTGGCTCTTATATAATTATATGTGAAGTGAAGGAGAAGGAAAAGGGTGTCCACACGAGGCAGACTGGCCCCGCCTCCTGGCCACCTGTGGAGCTCCTAGGACTCCTTCTCCACCTGGCCTCCCATGTCTGATCCTCTCTTTTCCAGCCTCATTCTTTTGTTCGTCGCTGCCAGTATGACTTTCACTCCCAATGACCCTCATTTAACCTTCCCAGCTTGAAGGACAGAATCATCTGCCTCATCCACTAGTCTCTTTCCAATTTTTATGGAGTAAACTCTGTTCTACTTTTGTCTGCTCCCCTTTGCTTCTTAAGGGTCTAGTTTGGAAGTTAAAAAAAATTCATTTTTTCTTTGATCATCAGGTGTTTAACAATACAAATTTCCACCAGACAGATGCAGATCTTGATACCTTATCCTTACAATTTTGTTTACTGTTTGCCACCAGCACCCACTCCCACACCGCTTTCCCCACAAAAAATAAACTCCAGGAAGTCAGGGACCATGTCTGTCTTCTTGTTCACCATGGTATCCCCACTGCCCAGGACAGTGGCTAGCACACTACAAGAGAACAATAAACTGCGAACTGAATTATCTTAGTCCCTTCGAATATCAGGTGCTTGACAACCCTAATTTCCACCTGGCAGATGCAGATCCTTAAAACAACCCAGGAAGTGGATTCAACCATTATTCCCTTTTAGCATCTGAAGAAACGGACATATAAATGGAGACACCAAAGCCCTGTAACCTAAGCCATTTATTCAACCTTAGAAGTCTGACTCCCTGACCTATGCTCTTCCTGTAACTGAACTCACTGGGTTGGTCTCTTGGTGAGAGCGGAGCAGAAAAGCACAACCAAGGCAGCAATAGGTGAAGAAAACTTTTATTTCTTGCACAAACAGTGGAGAACACCAGGGATAGCTCCCAATGCAGTGTCTCCCCCAGCTCAGGACCAGTGGAGACTTTATACACAAGAGAGCAGAGCATAACAGGTTTATTTGTAACATCTATGTAACAACTGTGCTCACTCAGGGCACACGCATGAGTAGCAGGTCAACACACTACTACCTACATCGCATGATCTGAAAATGGCTGCTTGGACCCTCCCAAAGGAAGAGAATTTAAGATGCTTATGAGTTTAAGGTAACTTTAGGATGCTTGGAACTGGAGCATTTTGCATGGGATCTTGCTGCAAATGTGTGAATTTCTCTGCAAGATAGCAACATCTGCAAACCAGGGACATCGATTTCTGCAAAGCAGAACATATAGTCTACTCCTGTCTGAAAAACATTTGACAGACTATGTTACTTATTGATCAGATCCTCAGTAACCCTTTCTTTGCCTGGTTCCCTGGTCACATTTCCACTATCTCCGGCAGGCATCTTACCAAATATCTGAGGACTGGCAATAAATGTGAAAACCTGACTAGCTCTTTCTGAAGTGCAGGGAAGACCAAATTGCCAATGGTCTAAGTCAGGGGTTCTCGGAGTGTGGTCCAGGAAATCCTGGAGGTTCCCGAAACACTTTCGAGGAGGTCTGCAAGGTCAAAACTATTTTTATTATAAAACATAAAAATTTTCAAAATAAAATAATCAAAAAGGCCATTTGACTTTTTCCCTTGCATCCTTTCTTAAGTATATGGAGGAGTTTTCAAGATGCTATATGCTGTGATATCACGCCAGACTAAATGCAGAAGCAGATATGAGAACCGAGCTATTTACTCTTAAGCCAGACATCGGATTTGCAAAAATGTAAAACACTGCCACTCTTCTATTTTTTTGCTTTGGAAAACAGTTTTGGGTTTTTTTTGGGGCAGGGGGGTTCAAGTAAGAGGCTTTTAATGAAGATTTTAGAAGTGAAGAGCTCCACGTTCAGGATTTATCATCTAACATCTCAATGTTCAGAAAACCGGATTAAAAGAAGCCAAACCCAAACAAACCCACTCAGCATTAACACACACCTCTTTTCTTTG